CCACGAGCTTTGAGGAGACAAGTATTTCTCTATGCTGTGACCTTTTGTTTACTTAAAATCCTAAACTTAAAATTGATGACCAGTTCTCATGTGATCACTTATGGGATTTGGGAAGGGTGGAGAAATAAGTAGGCAAAAATATCTGAACTGTCATGAATATATGTGTGCATATTTTATTTTTGATTCAATCTTTTGCCTATTCTATAGGAATAAAAATCATTAGTTTATGATTAGTTTATATTGTTAAAGAGCAACTATTACCTCCTGAACCACCCATATTTTGTATGTATTACTACATCTATGTTAATTAAATCATTTTAATAAATGAGAAATTGTTCTACTAGAAATTTGTGCCAAACCAAGATAACTTTGCACAGAGAAATAGTCTGAGATGTCTGATCACTCAGGAAAAAATATTTAAAAGATTGTTGTAAACATATTTCATGCTTAAGCTTTACTCATATTTTTCTAATTTCTCTATTATGTTTATGGCTTCCAAATCTCTACTATCAAATTCTGCTTTTCTCACAGTCTTTATGATTTTCCTGAGTCTCTACACTTTTTGTTGTTATTGTTGGTCGTAGGGCTTGAACTCGGCCTGGGCGTTGTCCCTCAGCTCTTCAGCTTAAGGCAAGCACTCTACCACTTGAGCTACAGTGACACTTTCGGTTTTCTGGTGGTTTACTAGAGGTAAGTGTTTCATGGACTTTCCTGCCCAGGCTGGCTTTGAACCGTGATCCTCAGATCCCTGATTCCTGAGTAGCTAGGATTTCAGGTGTGAGCCACCGAAAACCAGAATGAGTCTACAATTACATCTTACCTCCTAAATGATTTTTACACTTTCTCACTGAACATTAACCCATTGTTTCAAAATTCGTGGTTTTTCTCCTCTCAGGATTTAATAAGTATCCATATATTTTAAATTAATGACTTTAATGAATCAACTTTAAAAACCATGATTCCAAATTCTGAACAGTAATAATTATATCAATTATATCAATAAAACAAATAGAACATATATCGAGAGAGAAGGAGAAAGGGACAGATAGACAGACAGAGGGAGAGAATTACACACCGCCTTTTAATAATCTAAATGATTTGGGTTTAGAAACTAGAAAAAATTAAAGTAATAATTTAGTTTACAGCTTTCATACAATTCAAGGTCTCAGAGTGTATGAATGTACCTCCAAACACTATGGCTTAATATTAAGTGTGGCTTATTTTATAAAATACAGAAGACTATACTATAGTATAATCTTATTTACTTTTTACTTGTGAGTCAGATATTTACTTAAAACCTCTTGAGACATTACTGCTGATAAAAAAACAATAATGGAAACCATGGTACCTATGTTTCTTTGGGCCTGGCTTACTTCACTTAATATAATGTTTTCCACGTCTTCCCATTTCCTAACAAATGGGGCAATGTCATTATTTTTGATGGAGGCATAGAATTCCATTGTGTAAATATACCACATTCTTTTTTGATCCATTCATCTACTGAGGGGCATCTGGGTTGGTTCCACATCTTAGCTATGGTAAATAATGCTGCAATAAACATAGTTGTGTTGGTAGCTTTAATATGGTCTTATTTGTGATCATTCGGGTAAATGCTCAAAAGTGGGATTGCTGGGTCAAGTATACATCTGAGACGAGCAGAAATGGTCAGATAAGTTGATGTTAGGCGAAATTAACCCCAAGATAAGGATTCTAATGGTTTTTCTTTCTTGTTATTGTTTCTATCATATTTATAAGATGATTTCTCTGTTGCTTTATATGTCCCTCCCCCATGGTATAACCCTCATTTTCACTATTTGATGTTGGTATAATTTGGGGAGGGGAAGAGAAAAAACAAATTTTTAAAATAGGGATACATTGCAACAATGAGATTAACAAGACGTTATGTCGAAAAACGAACTTTATAACTTTTGGGGAAGGGGTAAGGGGGAAAATAGGAAGGGATGGTAAGGGGAAACAAAGGAGGAGACAAAAATGCTTGATAAGAAATGTACTCATTACCTTGCCCATGTAATTGTAACCTCTCTGTATGGTATTTTCACAATAAAAAAACGTATTAATAAAAATGTAAAATAAAAAAATAATGATGGAGTAATGATGGAACAGATGAATAAAACAGGTAGGGTCTAATCTGTAGGGTTATAATTCAAATAGCGAAGGAGAAGAGACAGGTTTTTAAAATGAAAAACTGTATAGATTTCTAATTGTGGGTAATTCAGCAAGAATAATAAAACTCAGTAAGTAACACTAACTTTAACAAGTTATTAGGGGCAGATTAACTCAGAGCAGTCATGGAAGTTCTATTTCAGTTTAAATAGAAGGTGGAACCAACCATTTCTGATGATAATTTAATAGGCAAACTGAGTAGAAAGACGGTGCCTTATCAAGATCAATAGACATGACATATTTGAGGAGCTGCAAAACAACGGGACCTTGCATGGGAGATGACAATAAAAGATGAAATTGGAGTGGGATAAGCCAAGTTGTTGTGATGTCAATAAACAAGTCAAGGTGTCCTTGGGACACAGATGCAAGACTTCAGGATTGAAGGTTAAAATTGGGATTGATTGGAGTATCCAAGGCATTTAGATCCCTGGTATTGAGTGTGTTCTAGGGGGAAAAAAACCTTCCTTTGATAGAGTTTATAATAAAGACCAACACACAGCCCCCTAGGATGCTAAGATTTTTAAGGTCAATTCTATCCAGTCCAACAAAGGAAGGTAGTTTGTGAAGTTGGGGACAAAGAATTGTACTGTGGAAGGGTGAGAATATTGAAAGGGGTGACACTGATCCAGATACTTTGTATTCATAAATTGCTTTGTTAAATGGCAACTCCTTTGTACAACTACTTAAAGATAATAAAAAATATACAAAAAGAATGAGCTGATTTTTTTGTGTAAGTCATACAACTGATGTCAGGAGACATCTATGTAGTTCCTCAGCCTATTATTAAATTATATGACCTGGAAAGATTTTTTGCAGAGTACATTCAGATTGTTGGAATGTTCCCAAACATTTGCCTGTTGTTTCTTTATGAATAGCTTTGGCTTATGTACTTTTGACATATTACTAGAGTGGCATTGAGGGCATTATATTATGAGGCCAATGATAGTAGAGAGCTGATAATGCTAAATTTAGTGCATTTGTCTTCACCAAGTTCACTATAAAGTTATTGTTTTCCACAACTGTAAGGAGATTCTTTGAGAAGAGGTTGTTTTGTAGCTTATCAAAAATTTCTGTTGGTGTAGACATGCAAATATCTTAACCCTATCTACTCCAAATGTTGAATCTATGAGAATCCATCCCAAAAATAACAAAGAAGAAGTCAGAGTGGAAGCATGGCCTAAATGGTACACCACCAGCCACCAACCAAAGGAGCAAGCATGAGAGGCCCTAAATTCAAACCCTAGTAACACACAAACACACACACACACACACACACACACACACACATATACACATAGACACACATAGAGCAAACACATACATGCACAAAACCCTATGACGTATATTAGCATATGCCAATCATCACAGATTGGGGAAAAGGAAAATTATTTCAGACATGTTGTTTTTGTTTGGTTTGTTTCTTAAATTTTTAGTATTTTTAATAGTTGTTCAAAGGATTTCAATTCTTCATGTCAATTTATGTGTACAATACACCAAGGCTTTTTGAGGTTTTCCCCTTACTTGGCTGTTTTCCACAGTGGTCCACCTGCTGTGTAACCCCTTATTATTTCTGGCATCATTAACATGTTGCAAAATAAACATTTTTTTCAAAGCCATTTAAAGTTTGATGAAATTATGCATTTATGGTATTACTTAAAAAACTAGTGTACTTTAATCAGGGGATGTGCTTCAATATAGTAAATCCTTGAACATAGAGGATGTATGCCTTTTGAATTACTGCCATTAACTCATCAAAAGAGTATCTGTTGCTGGATGGGTTGATTTGTTGAATCTTCACAAGTTCAGGGTATTGTCGTTTCTTAATTCTTAAATGGAAAAGAATTACAGACTTGTTTTATATAAAAAATGTATTTGTATATTTTACTTACCATAGAATACCCACGATGGCACACACATAAAATGGAAAGTTTGACTAGAACATTTCTCACTATCACTATATTAATGTGAACTGTTCTTACTTGAACTTGTTATCAAAACTGAAATCAACATTTGCTGTCCTCCTGTTTCTGAGAATGGAGAAAATGGCATTTGCTGAGTTAATTTGGATGCTTTAATCTTATCACAGTTGAAAAACCACCCAACCCTCTATAGTTTGGCTCTGGACTTTGAACAAGTTTTAAAAACTATGAAATGAGGGATGATAATTGTAGAAGATCAAGAGAAAAGTAATTTGTGATTTAAAATACTGGAAGTGCTCCAAGTTGACATGATAACTTGTTTGGAAACTGTAAACAGAAAACATGATATAATTGACAGCTTTCTGTGTATGACTGTACAACTTCATTAAAGGCTGTTGTGATTTCTGAAAGCCAGCTTCTTTAATGTCTTCAGGCATCTTTTTATAGCACATTTATTATCATATTAGCCAATGGCAGGCACTCAAATTGTGGGTTCCACCCACACTGAGCACGTATAAAAGGCCCACTGAACAGACCCAAAACATCTACACTCCTCATCCACCCAAGGACAACTCAACCACCAGCACCATGTGTGGCTACTACGGAAACTACTATGGCGGCCGCGGCTATGGCTGCTGTGGCTATGGAGGCCTGGGCTATAGCTACGGAGGCCTGGGCTGTGGCTATGGCTGTGGCTATGGCAGACTGGGCTGTGGCTATGGCTGTGGCTATGGCTATGGCTCCCGTTCTCTCTGTGGCTGTGGCTATGGCTCAGGCTATGGCTCTGGCTTTGGCTACTACTATTGAAGACAAGATGGAAGACCCTCACTCTCTCTACCTATGTCATCCTGACTCCTTAATTCTGATTCAGCACACTCTGAGCCTCACACTTGGAGGATGGTGATCCTGCAATGGAAGGCTGTTTGTGGTCTGCTGTTGACCTTCATGGGACCTCCCAACTCCCAGCCATTTCCTCCTAAAGGAGAAAGAGGTGAAACTCACCTTACACCTGCCACAGCTGCTCACATCAGAGTGATGCTATCAGAACATGGGCCTTGACGACTTTCATGGTGGAATTTGTTTCTCTGTTGATTTAATAAACTACATTGTTAAATGCAATCCTAGTTGTTATTTCAATCATTTGATTTCCAAAGTGACTTCTACCTTTTGGATGTGTTTTGTATGAAAAATAATGATTCTTTTCTTACATCAACTTCTTCAAACATACATGCCATACAAAAATAACAACATCATTTCTGTGAACCCATTTTTTTAACTAATCAAGAAATAGTTGTCCTGCTGAACAGCTCACTACTAAACACAGTGTTATCTAAAACTTTGGATAAATATTAAATGGCACATGTAAGTAAAATAATAATTGTCACAATTCTTATATAACCAATATCTCAACATTAATGTTACTAATGTTTGTATAACAATTTTAACTGAAGAAAACATAACTTCAGGAAAGTTTTAACAGACTTTTAGATCATGAAGTAATAGTAGATTGAACTACTTATAGTAGTACATAGTAGATAATATTACTTAATAGAAGAGTAAGCCTGCATTTGGAGTCATAATAATTGAATAAAATAACATTTTATATTTAGATTGAGAGTTTCAGGATCACATAGTGAAGATCGTCTTGGTGATGATCATGCCTGTGGTATCATTCAATGAGGAAGAGCCTTTCTCCATGCTTATGGACTGATTGGAAAGATTGAATTCCCTGTGGTTGTGTATGGATGTGTTCAGCACTAACTGTGGCCTGGCAGCCTTTGCATGATATCTGCTAGAAGCCACCCTTACCTGAAAGATTACCAATGGTTCTCTGTCATGGGAATTCCCACATATCTTCTCATGCTTTCTCTAGATCATCATAAAAGGGAAAGTGACTCCAGAAAGATAAACACTCTAATTTTTTTATTGTGAGAATACTGTACAGAAGGACTACAATTACATGGGCAAGATAATGAGTACATTTCTTATCAAGCATTGTAGCCTCCTCCTTTGTTTCCCCTTCCCATCCCTTCCCATCCCCCCCCTCCCCGTCCTCCCCCACCCAAACTCCTCCCTCCCCCCACCAAAGTTGTACAGTTTGTTTTCGACATAACGACTTGTACATCTCATTGTTGCAATGGGTCCACCTGTGTCCCTATTTAAATGATTTGTTTTTTTCCCTTCCCCTCCACAAATTATAACAACATCAAATACAGTGAAAGCAGGAATTATACCGTGGGGGAGGGACATACAAAGCAACAAAGAAATAATCTTATAAATGTAAACACTCTAATTTTATGTAACATAATCCCACACAAACATAATCCCACACACATAATCAACACACACACACACAGACACACACACACACACACACACAGAGCGCCTTCCAAGTCTGCTATTCTCTATGTGTTAGAAGCAAGTTCCAAGACTTTTCCATCCTCCAGAGGAGGGGATCATTGAAGGGTATTCTTCACCACACAGGCAGGAATCATGGAGGCACCATAATTGTCTGCCCACCTTCATAGGAATACTTGGAATCTTTTAGAACAGGAAATAGAAAGTTTTGCTTCATTTGTAATGCTCTGGGGAAATTAGAATGACATTAGGGTTCTTTGGTACTTGAAGATTTGATAGAATATTCTTGAAAATCCTGCAGATAAGAGGCTTGCTTACAGTTCCTTGCTTCAGTAATTTTCTCTGATGACTCTAAAAAATGCATGTCTTTACAGTTTGTAAGTCTATCATGGTAATGTGGGAAATTTATATTCCTTTAGGAAATTAACCACTATATCTATGTTTCCAAGTTATATTAATAAAAATATGCAGATCTTTATGACTCTCTAGGTATCTTTCAATTGTTGTTCTTAGCCAGTTTTGGCTTTGCTTCATGACAATAGGATGCCTTTTTTTTCCGGTCATGGGGCTTGAACTCTGGGCTTGGGTAGTGACTCTGTGCTCTTCAGCTCAAGGCAAGCATTCTACCACTTGAGTCACACTTCCTGTTTTCTGGTGGCTAATTGGAGATAAGAGTCTCATGGACTTTCCTGCCTGGGCTATCTTTGAACCATGATCTTCAGACCTCAGCCTCCTGAGTAGCTAGGAGTACAGGCATGAGCCACCAGTGCCTGGCTTAGTATGCCATTTTTATTAGTCATATTTCTACTTTAAAAATACATTCTTTGTGCTTCAATGTATAGTCAATTTTCTATAAATGTTCTAAGAGCTAGGAAAAAGATTTTTTCTTTAGTTGATGAGGTAAATATATTTATCAATATTAATTATATGTATTAATGTTTACTGATTCACAGAGGTTTTGATTTAATAAATTAATTAAACTAAACCATTAGCATACAATGATGTGATTGTCATATTGGCTCATACTTCTATACTTTAACAAAATAAAAACATTTAGGTGATTTTGTCCAATAATTGTCTTTGTATTGTATATATCAGTTATAATGTCCTTATTCTCATCTTTTCTCATTTTACTATTGCTTATCTTATTTGTCCCTTTAATATATATTCTTTAATTCTCACTCTTTTCTAAATGACAAATTATTTGTATATTTTCGTCTTTAAATCTCTCTTCTCTTTCTTATTTTTAGTAGGATTATGACAATTTATATTGGTCTTCCCCCTCTACCAATATTTTGCTGAATTAAAAAGTTATTCCTTGAGTGGAAGAATCTTCCATAGTTTGTCTAACGTGTGTCTGCAGCCATGGAACCATTTAATTTCTTGCATTTTGAAATAGTTTAACTCATCGATGTATTAAGGGTAATTTTAATAGTATTGAAAACATTTTTCTACTTCTTTGACATATTTGAAAATACTGGCTATTTCTCATTGTGGTAGCTCATATCTGAAATCTCAGTTTCATGAGAAGCAGAAGTAGGGGGAATAAAGTCCAGTTCAGTGGGGGGCAGGGAGAGACAAAGATATTATTTTGGTCAAATCCATTTTGTATTCATTTTTATTCCTAATGTTATATGTACTTACTCAAAGGTTATAGGCACACCAAATTCTAACATCAATCACTGACATTTTAGTAAGTGGTTCATTTGCATTTTACATTTCTTGATATTGTTGCTATTTCATAATGTTACAGAGAATTGATGCATATTTTGTAAACAGATTTAATAAATATTATCCAGACTACCAGGATTAAAACTAATATTTGTACCATATACTACTGATTTTATTCTGATTAAACCACTGCTTTTTATAAAAGACAGTAAGTCTGTTTCCAAAGACAAGCAGAAATCTGATCCTTGAAATTACCAACTTCCTTGTGACAAAGATAAAAATGGCAGACAAAAAAAAATCATGTGTACTGCATGCATTCAAGGACATGTTGTCTGCAAGTGAACTGAAACAGCAGTAGTATATAATTTAGGGTAGAAATCTCTATAGGAGGAAGTTACATCTATACAGGAAAAATAGATAATATCAAACTAAAGTACATTCAAATATCAAATAATGAAAAAGAAGAAAATGTTATAAAAACAAAGTAGAAAGCAGAAGCAGAAAAGTAGGTTTCAGATTGTCTTTGGACAAATATTTCCTATGTCAAAGATGAGATTTTCATTAAATCAAAGTAGATATTGCTCAGGATCAACACATCTACAATTTCACCTGCCAGAGAGCAACAATGTAAACAATTCCATACTCAATTGTACATACTTTTTAAAAAAGTATACAGAAAAAGTAGGAGATACGTAGAAGCGATTATCTTCAGTAAAATACGAATTTAGAGAGCTTCTTTGATAAAATTGGCTAAATAGTTTATACTCAATCACAACCTAGTAACAACATCAAAGAAATGTTACCCTAAATTGATCATTTCAGTGGAAGAAGTCCTGATGCTTGATACTCTAAGAAGGCTCCACTGCCACTGTCTGAGGAAACAACAACCTTGGAAACATAGGAAAATATAATGACTCACAGGAAAATGACCTAAAGAGATTACCAATCTGTGACTTTCCAAAGGAAGCCAGAGAACCAGTATCTTGCCCATATGGGCAGAAAACAGACATATCCACAGCCACCATAGCTACAGCCATAACCATAACACAGGCCTTCACTGTGGTTGCTGTAGGAACTCAGCGGTCAACAGTGGAAAGGTCAAGGGTATTGCAGGGCCAGATTTAGGGTTTTAACCTCACAATCTACACAGAGTCTGACATGGCAACTGAATGATATATGGGGCAAACCACAGACAGAATTCACACAGATTATGGTATGTTACAGTCCCATTCTCAAGTAATTGGCACTGAAGCCATCTAAAATACTTCTAGTCAACACATGCAAGACAGCTCAGTTGTGTGTCAAGTGCCTGCAATAAATTCATACAATTTTAACAAGAGATTCTCAAATTTTACTGACTTGTTTGTTCTCGATGCCAATTTTAAATTCTGTTGTTTTCAGCCATGATATCATCTAACTACTATGGGCTTCACTTTATGATATTTTCCTTTAATAATATCTTCCTTTCAGTTGTCACATTTGCAGTCTTTGATGATAACAAAATCTGATTTCTAAAGAGTGGGGCCAGGTTGCTTGTAAATTGCTAAATGATAAGTTGTTTTACTGTTGTCTTATATAGAACTATATTCACTTTGATTTTTTTTACATAGTGATGCATATATCACTTTTTATAGGATTCAAAGGAAGGTAGAGTCCAGTGTGAAGTTTAAAGCCATGGACCATGGTTATAAAGAGAAAGAGCCTTATTCTTTTAGAACCTGCATTTTGAAAACATTCAAAGGGTTTCTGACATCATACTTTTAGCACAAGGATATACGAACGTTCCATCCTGTTTACTTTCCCAAAATATCTATCCATAAAATGACATTTTATAAGTTATTTCACTCTAAAAATTGTCATTGCCATTGAAATTTTTTTAATGTTAAAAAGGAGTCTCCACTTGGAGGTGAGAAAGAGATATGACAAATAAATGCCCTATTGAAGCTTGGATTGGGACACATAAAAACACACTAATTGTTTAAAGTGGTGAAATAAAAATGAAATTCATAGCTCAGTGAAGAACATTATAAAGGCTAGTAAGCATTATGCTGTCTTGAGTATAAAAGATATGAGAAGGTAATTTCATGAAAGGTGTACAAAATATTTCATCTAAAACCCCATGGCAATGACTCATGACTGCAATTCTAACTTCTCAAGAAACTGAGGTCTGAAGAATTTTGGTTCAAAACCAGCCTGGGCAGAAAAGTCTATAAAACCATATCCTCAAAATACTCAGCCAAAAGTGGGTCTGAAGGCAGAATCTATGTGGTAGAACATCATCCACGAAGAAACAAGGTGAGCAAAAGTACAAAGCTCTGAGTTCAAGCTCCAAAACAAGCCTACATTAATAAAGTTGAGAAGATAATTTTTATATTATTTATTTTTGGGGGGAGGTCCGGTCATGGGGGCCTGATCTCTGGGCCTGGGCGCTGTCCCTCAGCTCTTCAGCTCAAGGCCAGCGCTCTACCACTTGAGCCACAGCGCCACTTCCGGCTTTTTTCTTATGTGGTGCTGAAGATTTGAACCCAGGGCCTCAAGCATGCAAGGCAAGCACTCTACTACTGATCCACCTTCCCAGACCAAGAAGATAATTTTTAAGTGCTACTTGCTTTTATTAATTTGGTCATCCATTCTTTCTTTTTTTCACCACATCAAAATTAATCAGGTGTCTGTAGGGCTTGACTGTGATAATTTGATATACAGTAGTGAACAGGGCAGACAAAGCCACTAATGTTATGTAAGTGATATATGTCAAGGTGAGCCATGGTGGATTTAAAGAACACTTCAAAATAGTTAGTCAGCAAGTGTTTGAGAGAACTAGCAGGAAGAGAAAGATTTTGCCATTCCTGCTGCGACTTTCAAAATGAAGTAATTTACAGACAGAGGCTTTAAGTTAGAAACAAAGCTGGTAAATCTGAAGAACAGCAAGTGTATTGGTATCACTGAAGGATAAAGAAAAGTGGAGTGTTATAAAATACACTCATATATATGTAGAGAGAGAGATAGATATAGATAGATAGATAGATAGATAGATAGATAGATAGATAGATAATCAAGGATAAGATGGGGTAGACCATAAAAGTCATGGTTTCTAAGTTTCACATGGCCAGACATAGCAAATAAAAATATAGGAACTGCAGAAAATGTTGATTTTAGAAAATTAATGCTTATACACATTTCTAATGTTATATTTGAGGTGCTCAACATTCTGAATATTATTATTCTTAAATTCATGCTTAACTGGGTGTCTAGTCTAGCGTAAATAAATAAATAAATAGCATAAAGAATAAATAGTCTTTAAGAAAGTTTTCCTTAAAGAATGGCCTGATCTAATGTACACCCTTCCTCACTGCATATTTTTAAAAATTACAATGGAATAGAACTTGAAATATGAATAACCATGCACGATAGTTTCTTCTTTTTCAACTATCCAAAAAGATGTCAAGTAATTATTTGGAGATATGTATCTGTAAATTATAATTGGGACTTTGGTATGAGATTAACCCAGAGAACATATCTATCCCAGAACAGACAGATTAGGTAGAGGGTATGCAAAGGGCAAGCACCTGGTTGTATGCCCTTACGCTGGAGAAGAACTTCTAATGAAAGAGGAAAATTACTGAACAGAAGCAGCTAGTGAAACTGGAATTAAACCAGAATGCATAGTAAGATGAAAGACAAGATGGGGTAAGCTTTGAAAAGAAAGATGGTTAAATCTGAACATTTACTAGAGCTATTTTAGCCCCAGTAAAGTGAAAATGGCTTGAACACTAGCATTGACACTACTGAGGACTGGATGATACATGTGGGAAGAATTTCATAAGTAAATACCAAAGACCAAAAGTGGTCAAAAGAAATAAATGGGAAAGACCCAACATTGAAATACATATGAAATTTTGTGATAGAACAGAAAAAAATTAGAAAGAATTGGAGTCTAAGAAAGGTCATTTCTTTCTGCCTTTTTATGCAATAAACTTAAGAACTTGATGTAGATAAGAAAATCCCAGCAGAAAAAAAGAAATATCACTAAGTAGCTCTATTTCTATTAAAGACAGAGATTTAAAGAAATTAATTTTTATAATGTGAAAATAATCTATTAACAGAATTTTTAACTTTTTTGGTGTGCTTAACAAGGTAAGTGTATTGAATAGGAGAATATTATAATCATGCTCAATTCCTTATAGACATGAAATTACATTTTTCAAATAAAGCATGAAATTACTCCCCCTTTTTTGTGCCTTTGATAGGAATAATTACCTCAGTAAGATGAATTAATAACTAATAATTGCAGGATTTTATAAGAGAAGTCAGAATCTCTGCTTACAAAGAATATTATGCTAAGATATTTGGATAAAGAGGGCTCTTTACATAGATAAATGTAAATATATGGTAAGATCATTGAATAGTTACATACAATATAAATGAAGTATTCTAGTGAATATTAACTAATCACTCTGTATTCAACTTGGAAAAAATTGGATTCCAGGGAATAAGTTCAGTAATTTAACAGAAATTCTACTGTAATTCAATAGAAATTAAACCTAAATTAGTTTAAGAGTCAATGGCATAAATAGGAAATTCTAAAGCATTTTGTTCAGTGAGGTTTTCTGGATATACTAATTAGTTGTGTTATTATAAGTATTATAAAATATATATCTGCACTCATTATAGAAATGAACTGAATACAAGAAGAAAATTAATTTGCATTGAATGAGAAAAACATCTTCCGAGTCAAAATAATGGTTTAATTTTTTTTGGCGGGGAGGTGAAATGTTTTTCAAAAGTAATGAAACTATGGAGGTACAAAACATATGATTGTGAAAAATCATGTCTTGTTGTTGTTGTATACAGTAGGACTATGGGAGCTTAAAAAAATCAGAGTGTCCTATGGGGCACAATCATATAAACACAAGCATTTGTGCCTCCTCCCAATGAAACCCTAAATTGGATGAGTTCACATGATAAACCAAGCAAAACAAGACTCTCTAATACCTGTGAGGCCTGAGTTTATGTTTAAGAAACAACAAAATAATTAGATTACTCATAGAATTAACCAGTGGCATTAGCACCTACTGTGGGTCCCACCCACAGTGAGGACATATAAAAGGCCCTCTGCAGGGAGGACTGCTCAGACTCAAGTCCTCTACACTCCTCATCCACCCAAGGACAACTCAACCACCAGCACCATGTGTGGCTACTACGGAAATTACTATGGCGGCCGCGGCTATGGCTGCTGTGGCTATGGAGGCCTGGGCTATGGCTACGGAGGCCTGGGCTGTGGCTATGGCTGTGGCTATGGCTGTGGCTATGGCAGACTGGGCTGTGGCTATGGCTGTGGCTATGGCAGACTGGGCTGTGGCTATGGCTATGGCTCCCGTTCTCTCTGTGGCTGTGGCTATGGTTATGGCTCAGGCTATGGCTCTGGCTTTGGCTACTACTATTGAAGACGAGATGGGAGACCCTCACTCTCTCCAGCTGTGACATCCAGATTCCCCAGTTCTGCCCAGCGTGCTCTGAGCCTCAACCCTGCTGATTCTGATCTTACGTCACAGGATTCTGTTGTCTTTATTTTACTAAAGTCTACTGTGTGATGCTTACTAATCTGAAGTTCCAAATTCACTCTTCTGTGGGTTTAACTCACAAAAAGTGGGAGACTGTGAAATTCATCTCGTGAAATGTGTACCTTATCTTTCCTTGGGATGATGCTTTCAGATATCCTGTCTTTTGATGTTTAGGTCAGAATATTTTCTGAAAATTTTCAATAAAATTATTTAATCTGGAATGATGTGGTTTTCTCTTATTTAAAATACAATGTCTGTAATTATGTTTGAGTTAACAATTATTAACACTTTATAATTTAAGTGGATATATAACATATTTACATATATTTATAAATATGTAAAATATACTCATAATGTATTATACTATACAATATATAATATAACATATATTACATATTTTATGTATATAGTATATATACAAAAAGAATCTAACATCCAGATTCTAGTGCCTGATTCCTGTAATTGTAGCTATTAAGGAGGCTAATATATGGTAGATTGAAGTTCATGTCCAGTCTTTGTAGAAAAGTCCAGCAGACTCCACCTCCACAATAACCAATAAAACACTGGTAGTTCAAGTGGTAGAAATCTATCTGAACAAGTATAGGCTTTGAGTTCAAGTGGTAGTACAGAGCATAAATAACAGCAACAACAAAATAGTCAAGGGATAATTATGGAGAGAAATATTACTTTCTGTAATCCTTGTCATGTCTCAGTAAAAGTAATATTTTGGGACCATCAAATTTCTGCTTTGGTTAAGCAGAAATGATGTGTCTTCATAGGCTTCTGCTGTTAGCTATGAGAGATAATAATAGTCAGTTTGGTTTACCATTATGGAAAGCTCCGAATATTCTAAATATTATTTTACCAAAACCATTATCTGTATAAAATCCTTTTGAAGGCAAGGCACCAGTGGTTCATGCCTGCAATCCTAGTTACTTAGGAGACTGAGATCTGAGGATCACGATTCAAAGCCAACCTGGGCAGGAAAGTCCATGAGACTCTTACCTCCAATTAACCACCAGAAAACAGGAAATGGCACTGTGGCTCAAGTGGTAGAGTACTCTTCTTGAGGTAAAGAGCTCAGGGACTGTGCTCAGGCCCAGAGTTCAAGCTCCATGACTGACATGTACAAAAAAATCATTTTGAAAAAAATGGATGTTAATAAATGATTTCTAATATCAGTCTCAATTCAGGACATGTTTAAACAAAAACCTATTTGCTATACTTTCTCTGAACAAAAGGTAAAGAAGTTAATGGTTGAATTCAGCTGACCAGAATTTTATTGAGAAATTTTTCATATATGGTCATCAAAGAATAGGTCTAAAGCTCTCTTTCTTTTATAAGTCCCTATCTGGTTTAGGGATGAGTGTAATACTGGCTTTATAGAATGAATTGGATAGTGATCCTTCCCTTTCTATTTCATTGAACAGTTTCATGAATATTGGTGTTAGTTTTCCTCTGAAGATCTTATAGAATATGACTGTAAATCTATCAGATCCTTGACTTTTCTTGCTTGTTATGGAATTATTTGATTGGTTTATATCTTCTTGTTCAGTTTAGGGAAATTGATGGGCTCTAGGAATGTATCCATTTCTGACAGGTTCTCGCAAGTAAATACATTGGGTGTTATGCAAGTATGTCCAAATATATTAACTAAAATACAGTAGATTCAAGATAGATTGCAAATAGTGTGATTCCTTAGTAAGCAAAATCAAAGTTCAGCAAAATAAAATACCATGAAGTGGTGTAGGTTGTGATTACAGGGAAAGGGGTAAACAAGGAAAGAGGAGAAGAGGGGGTAAGGCAGGCAAAAATCCAATGTATATTTTACAAAATTAAAAAGAGTGATGGTGTTCAGGGGAGGTAATGTGAGAATATTGAAAGGGGTGACATTGATAAATATATATAATAGTTATAAAACTGCTTTAAATGCCATCACCTTTTTTCAACTACTTAACGATAATAATAATTACATAATGAAAATTTAGTAAATATTCATGACTGTTGAAAGTGAAATAAAAGTTAAAATGTTTTTCTTTTATTTGACTTTTATATACCTTAAACTAACTTAATTTTTTAAAGGCGGCATATTTATAAGATCCCTAGATATTTAAAGTCATATAATAATGCTAAATATTATTTTGTCTTAAATTTTTAAAATATGAATAGAGTCAAAGGAATGTATAGAATATATCAAAAGTTCTAAGATTCATAGCACTAGGATCTCAAATGGAGAGGGGAAGTATAAACTGATAGACAAATTTGTTTAGGGGAATAATTATGTAAATCTTCCAAATTTGGTAGGAGAAATCTATGCTGTGAGAGCAATAGAACACACACAAAGGAAAGTATGTCTACATCCATTATAGTCAAGTTTCTGATAACAAAACAAAAATATACTTGAAAGCAACTAAAGAAAAACAACATGTTACTAACAAAGAATAATAATTTAGTGTGGTTTTCTCATGAGAAACTACAAGTACAAAAGGGAGTGAAAAAAGACTAAAGTACTCATAGAAAAAGAACCTAGTATTATATACATAACCAATAATATCCCTCATGCAAAAGGTAAAATAAAATATTTCTCTGGTTAAGGAAAACTTAAGAGAATTTGTGACCTTAAAAACTTCCTTAAAAGACATACTAAAGAAAGTTTGTCAGATTAAAGGTAAATCATATTAAAGGGAAACTTGGGACCTCAGAAATAAAAAAATAGGAAATTATACATATTTTGGGGAGATTATATGTTTTCTTTGAAGTCTTTTAAAAATCATGTTAACTGTCCATGCTCAAAATGTCTTGTCTGTTGTTCTGGTCATGGTACCTGATTTCTTAACCATACTTTCTATGGCCAAACCCTTATTCACATTCTTTTACATGGCCAATCTCCAAGTATTTAATCTTTCCATTTGCTCTCATTTGTTCCTGACTCTTAACAGTGAATTAAGCTCAAAGCAACCAGGAATACCCACATTATTGTCTAAACATTCTGTTCCCTTTAAATTTCCACTACTAGATGAACTAGTCCAATCGCTTTTAAACTTGGCTTCTCACAAAGTCTCAGGGAAGAGACAAAATATAATCAAATCTTTGGGACAGTGGAACAGGGTTGACCTCAGCTCAATTCCCAACATAACACTCATTTCCATTTGAAATATCATCAGCATGTCCTAATATCCATATTTCCATCAGCATTCTTGTCTTCTAGCCTTCACCAGAATTACTCAGGAAGTTTTGCTTATAAAGAATATTTTTTCTACTTTGTTTTGATCAAACTATTTCAACTTCTTCTTGTAAACTTTTTCCAAAGTCTCTCATACACTCACCAGATATATACTAAGACTGAAATACCTCATCCTGGGTAACAATTTCCCGATAGCCTGCATTCCCTTATTAGAAAAAATTCCTGAGATTAAATCAATTTATAAAGTGGTGTGATTGATTTTGGCTTTCATTTTGGAGGTCTTAGCCAATAATTAATTAGCCTCGCTGTTTTGAAGCTACTAAGAAACTTATCATGGCGGAACCATGTGGTAGAGTAAAGCCACTCACCTCATGGCAAGGAAGACACAGAAAGCATTCCAGAGATCCATGTCCATAATGCTATTCAAGTAACCAAAAGACTTCTGCCTCAAAATAACTTCATCCTGAGAAACAAGCCTGAAACATATGGACACTTAGAGGACACCTAAAATCAAACTACAGCATCTGGTGAACTTCATCAATCATGTGAGAAAGAAATAACAACTTTATGAAATCTTTCCAGAAAAAAAATATGAAAACAATGATGAGTCTGATGGTACACATCTGTAACCCTAACTACTAGGACTGCAGCAGGAGGAATACAGTTCAATTGCAGGCAGGACAAAAGTGTCAACAAGAGCCTATCTCAACTAAGAAGCTAATTAATGGTATGTCACTGTGATCACAGCTATGTGGGAGTTATAAGAAAATCAAGGTCTGAGGTCTGACTCAGGCAAAAAATGTGAGATCATAGAAAGGAAGTAAAGTGAAAAGGAAGGTGGAGGGTGACTCTAATGGTAGAGAGCTTGCTTTGGAGTACCATGATCAAGTGGCAGTACTCATACAAAACCTAAAATACAAAACCAATGAAGACCAGAATTTTGTTTCATTTCACCAAGTTTAATACTGAGAAAGTGATAAAAGCAGGAGCAGTGACTCCATCATTCTAGGGGACGATAAGTCACTTGTCCTGAGGGAAAGAAAGGAATAGATATTTAATAGGGCTGGATCCAGACCGGAACCACCAGATTTTAGGGTATTAACAGATGCCATCAGAAGTCTGCAGGACACAAGCGCATGAAATTCAGGGCAGGTAAATCATGATGTCCTATGTCTAGTTGTTGCTCCCACTGTGTCTTCAATAGTAGTAGCCAAAGCCAGAGCCATAGCCTGAGCCATAGCCATAGCCACAGCCACAGAGAGAACGGGAGCCATAGCCATAGCCACAGCCATAGCCACAGCCCAGTCTGCCATAGCCACAGCCATAGCCACAGCCCAGGCCTCCGTAGCCATAGCCCAGGCCTCCATAGCCACAGCAGCCATAGCCGCGGCCGCCATAGTAATTTCCGTAGTAGCCACACATGGTGCTGGTGGTTGAGTTGTCCTTGGGTGGAGGAGGAGTGTAGGTGACTTGAGTCTGAACAGTCCTCCCTGCAGAGGGCCTTTTATATGTCCTCGCTGTGGGTGGGACCCACAGTGTGAGCTTATGCCATTGGCTAGTTTTATGACTGATGTAATTTAATTAGTTTGTTTTTTGTCCATCATGAGATAAAGCCTCAGCTTCTTTTGTTTGACCAGTCATGTTTCCTAAGAAACAATTCCATGTTAGGGAGATGAGGCAGTCAGAACAAATTATTGCC